TATATAGGAAGACAAAACAAAAACTTCGGTAAAAACCTGACCGACAAAAGACTCAAATAAACTTATGCCGAAATGAACTCAGCATCGGTCTTTTATCTTTTTGATCTATAGGTAACATTAGAATCTGATAAAACATGAAGGGATAGATCCATGCAATTGTGAGTGGTTGTTTTGCGATTAGACGCAGGTTGCCATTGTGGTAGTGTAATTGACAGAAAATTGAAAATCCTTTTTAATTTTAATTGTGTTTAGTGTGTAAATGCAATATTCACCCATGGCTTCGTCTCTAAATTTTCTTTAAATTCAGACTTTTTTTTTTAATAAAATGATGGAATTTAACACAGCTTATTTACGAAACGATTACAGGACAATTTTTTTAATTACTATTCAATTCAATCAAATGGTAGGGTTTGGAGTAAAAAGCGGTAGCACTTAATGTGTAGGAAAATTGACGGTGTATTTGGTGATGATGCCAGACCTATTGTGAGTAATATTTTCTTGAGATCTGTACACTGATTTCACTTTCAAAAGCACCGCCAAGCCCTTTTATTGTTTGATAGATATGTACAATATTTGAAACTGAAATATTTCAACACGTTTTCTTTGCCGCAGTTGTTTTCGACGTTTTTGTAATAAAAAAAAAAAAAGAAAAAAGAATAATAACAACTCGTATTCACACATGTAACTTATATCAGTTTTTTATAAGAAGCATTTTTTTTGTTATGTCATTGTTTGGTCATATTTGCAGTGAAACGGTAGGATCGTTTCGGCAATGTTCATGTAAAGTCTCTAAGAGGAAGTACAGGTTTCCGCATCGCTTGAAATCTTAAAATATGAGAAGTTCGAGTCCTTTCAGATTGTTTCTTCCAAATTAACGGTCAATAATATAAATAATGTTTTTTTGTAAGAAAATGTTTTGATAAAATAACTTAGATGTTAAAATATCTCTAGCGTTCGATTTTGATTTCGAGGTAGTGCGTTCAAATGGTGTGCTGAATGGCTGTACTACATGTTTTTTTATCAGTAAAAAAAACACAAATAGTTTACCTAGCCATTCAAGTATACTTCCATTCGCTTTGGTTTTTATCATATGCCGATTTTTGCGTATGATAATTTTTAGCTTTGGAATCACTAATTTTTGCCCATTAATAATAGATATACTATAAGAGTTTTTAATAAAATATCTTTGTCCGAATTAATAACAAACGGCTCAAGTACCGGACATGGAGCTCAAAACATTCAATTTTCAATATAGGCCCTATAGGCAAAATGTAATTATGAAACATTTTTAAGCATGGTTATGTTTCTTAGCTTTTCAAGTTGTAAACAAAAGCATAAATCAAATAATAAAAACAAACAACTTTTTCGAACGATATAGCAATTTTTTACTTTCAACTAACTAAAGAAACAAACGGTTTTAAGTGACTTAGCAAAAAAAAATATGGGAAGAAGACAATACTAGATTGAGTTAAAGTTCTCTTTTTTTTTTTCGATTAATCGAATGAACTCAGAAAATACATTGCTGCAATAAGTGCATTCCTGGTGCCGAGCAAAACAGAGTATATACTTTTTAAGAAATATATGGTAATTTTTTTAACCGGCTAGTTAAGCGGTTAAGCTTTGTTGTTGCTGCACGCAAAGATTACTATTTTCTAAATTAGTAAATTAGCTAGTCTTGTTCGTTTTACAGGAGTTCATTGCCGAACTCCTGTAAAACTTCTATGATTTACTGATCACCTCTGGTGTATTGGCATATCTACTCATTATCTCTGATTTTGATTATCTTCAGCTGAAAAACAAAAGGAAGTTAGCGCAAGCTCTGCTCCCCATCTATATTACACTACATGTGCAATAAAGCAAGTTTTGATTTTATTTGATCTTCTGAAAATTGGCTTGTCCAATTCCAGCGCATAATTTATTTAGCCTGAAGGTGCTGGAGAAGCAAACTTCGGACGCGTCATTATAAAAGGAAGGTAAAGATCAGAGCGGTCTAGGGCTCATAATTGAGTCGCATTCGCAGAGCTGTTAATATAAGAATAATTTATTTAAGAAATGGCTATATTAACGTTTTGTACTTAAAACTCTCAGATGCGATGTGCTAAAGAACAACGCAGTTTTTTTGCTAACATGCTCTTTTATTGAGATATTGAATGTTTGTTTTTCTTCAACATCATAGCTATTCATTAAGGAGTAAATAATACTGACTTACACTTATAGTAGTATGCTCATACTTTCACACAAAGTTAGAAGAACTGAATTCTCGTAGGTCTTTCGCCGTGACTATATATACTGTTTACTATGTAGTTTGAGAGCACGTTCAACTTTTCATATGTTTCAGGACCCGAGCAAGCTTGCGCATGGTCCTAATCTTTGCTGCGAATTTCCGATTAACAAGGGAAAATCGTTATAGTATTAAGTGGGAAACCTTGCATTTATGACGAATTGCAACGGTATTTACGGCCACCATGGCAATTTACCAAAAACTGAACGGCTGTATTACGTTTATCAATAACAAATATAACATGGGAAACATTGTATAGGGTTTCCGACACCTATCTATGCGCTGTTCGTGGTTTGCAACGGAAAATGAGATCGACGTGTTCGAAGTTCAGATCCAAGTACTGTTAGATTCGATTGAGTTTTTGTGAAATGGTGAGGGCCGAGGTAGTGTTTCCGAAAATCGAACAGCAATCAATTGCTTACATGCTGCCAATAGCCTGTTTTCCGCCCAGTACAGCCTCTTCCTTAAAGAGGGCTTCCAGTACACACTGAGCACGCGTGCCTAATTTTATTTTCTCGTTTTATCTTATATAAAAAAAAACAAAGTCTTCTTAAAACAAAAAAGTTCCCAAATTCAATTCGGGCTTATAGCAACAATAGCGACTCAGTCGTACTTCAAGGAACTCTACAATTTGAACGTAATCGGAATAATGAAAGAAAGCGCATCACAAGATTTTATTACTGTTCGCGAACAGCCTGTCTGTTTGACGCATGTGTAAGCGCTAGCACATTCTATTTTGGTACCATAAGCAGTTCGTCCATATTTTCATTTTTTAGGGAAGTGTCTGTAAAACGCCTCACGTACGAATTCCAGCCTCGACCAATATAACATACGACTGGTACTCACTAAATATTAGATGTCTACGTCTTTTCATTATCTCCACTAATATTTAGGGTATGTGCTTAGTAGAGAATATTCAGTGAAAGGCTATCGCGCAGCAAAGCGTCAATACCCTACTAACTAAAACAATATCGTATTCCCTCTATCTTCGTTTCCGTTCAACGGCAACTCGTTGAGAGACTCACTTTAGCTTTGACTTATGTTGCGGGATGGCTCTACTTTGGATCAGTTTGAGCTAACCCCTCTCTGCCATGAGCACAAATGGGCAGATCGGCCATTCCTCCTATCATTGGTATATGCAATAATATTACTGAGCGCACAGCATCGCAGCACCTTAATCATATAAAATGCATAATGAAATGGGAAAAATATTACGTTGTACAATTTTGCCATTATCATTATCTTACACTTTTATAATCTATATAAGAATTCCCAGCAGTGCTTTCTGTCATTACTCTAGCAGCCCTTTCCAATCGTCCCAGCTTACTGCGTCTCCAAATCCGGCTGTTTTATTTGCACATATCCTTTCCTTTCGTTATTTTCTATATTGTAATATTCAGTGACCAACATCCAGCTTTTAGCGAAGTCGCTCACGACTATGTCCCGTAAGAGCTAAAAACTCTTCGCGCGTTTTAGGATCCTCGCGGAAATAGCCGAGCATTGTCGACGTAATTGTGCGTGAATTGATCTTCTGCACACCTCTCATCACCATGCACATGTGGCTAGAAGCAAGGACACAGAATGATTATTATATAACATATAATAAAGGAGTTATTATAAATTTCTGTAGGGTTCTTCACAAGATGTGCGTAGTCGCTAATTCTCCTTAGAAAAATCACAGTTGAATTAAAAAATGGAAAGGTTCCTAAAAAATCTTTGGTAGGGACATCAGAGAGCCAAAGTAGAGAAAACTAATGTATTTGTCACGTTATAATATGTTTTTAATACTTTTTGCGTGTGTTTTTAACTCTCCGTGCATTTTTTTCAATAGATTTTTCCCAATATTTGGAGTTTCACTTTGCGAGCTTGTCGATAGCTAGAAGCCCTAGTACAATAAATGGTAAAGATATCGATAAGAGTAAAAAAAAATCATCTACTCAGTCTGGTCATTTGGAAACGATAAATGAGTGAGCGAAAATGAATAAATGTGAGAGATCTAACTTACGTGCATTCAACGACTACTCCTACACCAGTAGGGGCAATCGCCTCCTCAATAGCCACTGCGATCTGCTTCGTTAACCGTTCTTGTACTGCAATGAATTGTCGGAATTATAATATGTGGGTACCTCTTCTACAAACATGTTCGATGGAAAAGGCTATACCGAAGACTGAGCTTTTTATTATGTTCCCGAGTGATAAGTGATAACGATATTTCGCACCGTCTTTACCTAGATGAAGAAATTCTTAGATAATTAGCTGCGTACGAGTGCGGCACTTCATTATAAACAGAATGTGCTTAGGGATGGGAGAAGGTTGTACCTGTCAAAAGGAATTCGCTAAACTTCAGTCCATTGATTTCTCCTAAACAATAAAAGGTTGTTCTGGTGCACCCTGATCTATATAGCTACTAATAAACAAACAAAAAGGAAAAAAGGTTAAACAATCTTTTTTCTAGAATCTTCTTTTTTGACTTGAAGTTGAATGAAATGAAACATGTCTGAATGCGTACATACGTTGTAATCGTCGCGCGTATATTTCACAAATCCTGTAAAACGGAAGTGAACAAGTGGAAGTTATTTTTAATAGTTTGTCGCTCGGTTTAGTTGCAAAGGCAGGTGTCAGGCAGAACAGAAGTTTTGCTTATACAGTTAAATATCGGTTACGTTCTGATCGCTATTCAAATGAGAAATTCATATTATACGATGACAACTTTAGATTGAGGCATATTTTCGCTCAAAGCCTCTAGTAGTCGCGCGTACTGACGGTTCAATCTACTTACCCACCTCGTCCAAATGGAAAGGGTTTCAACTGTCCCGTTGTTGCCCCTTCCATTTCCTTCGTTAGAGGATGTAGTCGTTCATATATTCATGCAAAGAATTAATTCGTAATATTTTTTAAGAGGTGGGTGTGATGGGATAATGATGAAGAGACAAAGCAGCAAAAACATGAAAACCAGTTTCCATAAATACATGCTACTTTATTGAGTAAATTTGTCTTTGTCACTCGTAAAGTGCAAAGGAAGACACCCTCTACTTATTAGTACTACGAGATATCAGGCAAACAGCACATCTCACAACTCCGATAAAGATGCTCATTGAATTTGATAGAGGCCTTGAGTAAGTTGAAATGCACCATTGAGCCTAATTTTTTATATAGATAAAGTATTATCTGTTTACCTAAATTTCAAAAGTAAACAGAGGTCGCGCAAAATTTGCCTATTAGGTCAGGGGGAGAGGGGGTGGGGGATAACTTGAATCTGTTAGACGGTAGTTAAACTGGCGCCAATCGACCCATTTTACCTAATCTAGATGAAATTTAATAAATAAAAGGTTATTATTTGGAATATACTTATTTGTTTCTGAATCGGTCTGGATCGTAGTTTTTCACAGGATAATTTTGTGTGACGTTCATTGCTGGACTATTCTTTCGGAGTTCCATCAACGGGGTTACAAAAATATAGAAAACATAAACATAATATAGGTGACTCGGATTCACAGCTGTGTCATATTAACATAAGATCAGTAAAATAAGAGAATGTCTGAAAAACTTATCGACGAAACACAGGGACGAACATCGTATTATCAACAGAAGATAAAAGTTTGGCACTTGCGAGAAGTAAACCTAGATAAATTAATTGATCTTATTTATCATTTTCAGATAATCATGTCAAGCATGCCGACCGAATTACAATAATAAATAGAAGAAAATGCTACTAAATAATAATAAAAATAATGTACCGACCTAGCAATTTTGCTGAGTCCGAGCACCCGTTTGTTAGGAAGATATCCAATGGAAACCTGTAATTACAGTTAAAGCACCTTTTGCAGGTAAAACAAAGTCTAGTGCAATTCCTAAGCAGCGATAAGTACCCTATCGCAAATACTAATTGAATTTATGCATTGGCTACCGTTCGTACGTGTTCCACCTTAGATAATCGATCGGAATATATACTGTATTCAATTGTAAATATTTATTTTGAGAAAAAACCTCGATATGACCGTGTAAATTGCAAGTGGTATTAAATTATCTTGAGTTATAAATTACGTTGAATAAAAAAAATTTCCAAATATCTTCGAAATAAAGCTCTTATCACTGGTGGTACCATTATCAGTGTTAGTATTACTGTAAAGATAGAGTTTTATTAGTCTCTCACTTTGCCAAAAAAAGGGACGAGGTGATGTTCACAAAGTGAAAATATTTCGATATCCTTGACTATCACCATTTCATCCGTGTCTTCTAAGAAGACCCCCCCGCCAACAACCTCTGAAATAGATTGCAACGAGAGATAAACAAAGATATTTAATTCAGATATACATAGATAACAGAGTTTGCTTTCATTCACCTAAAAAAATTTAAAATTGATATTTTGATTTATCAACAGCGTCAGCTATTGCATAATGGAGGGGCGTAACTTAAGCACCACAAAGAGAAAACACTAAATTTACATAATAATATATTAACACATCATTCACATAGCTTTATATATATATATGTCATAGAACCAACACTCAATTATTCAGGCTCTTTTTTAATACATGTCTAACTTTATCAGCACAAGATAGCCGGATTTTACGAAATTAGACTGGCTATGCAACTGCTCGCCTGCTGTGCATTCCCGAGGCACACTCTCTTAGTGTCGATTTCTGTCCTTTTGTTGGGATCCTGCACTTTGTGGCACCCGAAGGATCAGGACCTTGGGACACTTCCCAAAAGCCGGACTGGGTAATGGTCCAGGAAGCTCTCGGAGGTATGGGGAAACGGGATGAAGTCGAGAGAGTAGGCGTTGCCATGGTGATGAAGTTGTCCGGCCGAAGTTGCGAAGAGCTGCGAATCTGGCTTTCCCGTTAGGCGCAGCTCCGTCAGGTTCTACGTAGGCAACGTTTGCTCCCACTCTCCAGCCAAACGGCGGTGTCCTAACCTAGACTGGGCGTATGCAACACTTGCGAATACTTCTGAACCAGTGGAACTAGGCGGGACAGAGAATGTGGCTATGAGCACAACAGGAGGCTGTTAACCTCAACTCAGAGGATCTGTCCTTTTTTCCTTTATGCCGTAAGCTTACCCAAGCAGCCTTATGTATGATTTAGAGACCCGGCCGAAATAGAGATTAGCTGACGGCGAAGGATTATATTCCCAGATAGATGACCAAAAATAGACTAAGGTACCGGATTTAAAGGTTCAAATACCGAGAAGATCTTCCTAACCGCTCTTGTCATTTTGAGACTACGTTCAATAGAGTGAAAGACAAGAAACGGTGAAAAGTCAGAGAGAAAAAAGAAAAATTCAACAGAATCAAATTTAACCGCCTTATTGTGAAAAAGTTTATTAATAAAATAGAAAAATACGTAAGCAAAGAGCCACACTGTACGCGGATCGTGAGTAGAACGAGAAAAAGGATTTGTCTAAATTGTATCATTGAGGTTGACTTCTCTATTATTATAGCGATATTTGTATCTGACTTTTAGCCTTGTTACAAAGTTTTTAAGAAATTATCACCGAACTCAAACATTTGGGCCTGCAATAAAACCTATTAGTGACAATAAAGTAGCATAATACTCAAACAGTCAGAGCCGCTTAATGGCTGTTCCTTTGTCGCTAGATTTGCGTCAAAGTCGAAGTCTGACTATGGTTAGAGGGTTGACTCAATGGGCCCGGCCCTAGCAGGGTCAGTGCTTCCCATATGCAAATACGACCCAGTATAAATGTCACGCAGACACACACACCTCGCTTTGGGACAGTCTACGCTAAGACGGTACGGGGCGTTTGTCGTCTCGTATTGCGTGTCGACAATTGATGGCGCATGAACAATACCGGTAAGTTTCCGTTTCAGACGACTGTTCGTCCCAAAGAAGATTCGTTAATCAGTATTTTAATCAAGTGGATGTAGCGATGTATGTTCATTTATTTATTCCACCTTCTTATATATTCCTGGCTCTTCTCTGCAGGTCTTTTGGGCTCCAAACAGTGCTGCACAGTAGCCGCCAACTGCGTTCACTCCATATACGCCCAAATGATTTTTGTTTTTAGCGATTTTCGCTTTTTTGGCGTATAGCAAATAGATTTAACACAATGTATCATGATTCTCAATTTGGAAAATTTCAGAAGCCAATTAAACAGGCGTTACCTAGCTATACACTTGAAGTGAGTAAATAGTTTTTATAAATGGCTAGTTTCTTAACGGCATAAAGGAAAGAGGACAGATTACACTTGTCGTTACTCAGATTTTGCCAAGCAAGGGCTTCTTCGCCTTGTGCACCCTCATAGGTGCACAACGTTTGTGCACCAAGCGGGCCAGGGATATCAGCTGCGTCTTTAATAGATCGATTGTTGATTTCCGATTACCTGGATCACTTTGAGCTGTTACATAATGCACCTCGTGCTGAATGGGAGCCGTTACAAGTTGTCCACCCAGAAGTGCTTAATATCCTACTGTTTACCAGATCCCACATGTCAGTTGAACTTATTTCGTTTGCTGAATATACATTTTGATTGCGAACGTTAGCTATCTGTATTAGAGATACTCTCTGACATTTTAAATCGGTCATGTTGAACTAATGTCGTGCTAAAAGCTTCGCGACCCACATATGGTGCTAGTTCGAAATCGTTCACAGCTGTATCGTCTTGAATCTATGTATTATTACAGACAATAGTAACTATAAATCGACATAAACATTCTATCTGGACTATACACCACCAAATAACAGATGCAAAATAAAATCACTAATTGATCTACGTATGGGTACCTGTCACCGTCTCATTGTAGCCTTTGGTGAAATGCATCATGGCTCTAGCAGCTCTGAGGGGTGTCTTGATCAGACCTGCGCGCGTAGGGTCCTCCCCAAGATCTCGCAGAATACGTTCGAAATGAATACTAAGCTTCATTACGATGTCTTCTTCTTCCTCGACAGACCGCCGTGGCACGGGAGAGGTCAGCTGTCTTTGATGACCACCTGAGTCAGAAAAAAACCAGCGTTACCCTAATTATTGAGTTTCAAACTCTATTTTATTGCTTTGCTAGATTTTCAGAATATTGTCCTCTGTGGTGGCGAATTTTAGCTAATGGCAGGATTGCATTGCAGGCTATAAAAATATACAAATAACATTTTATGATTGGGTACTCATCTTTGCATGCCATAAACGGCGTAAGACGAGTCAATTACGCTACAACTCGCTGCCTGTTGTAATTCAATGTATGATATAAGTTGAGACGAATCATGCTTCTCCTGTACAAGGGCTGTGGGTATACGTTCAGTGATCTATGTTGGTCATAATTATTTATTGTCGTTGCTACAACAATCTTTTAATGAGCGAAACTATATGCAATCAGCCCTCATGCGGGTGCCAATGGTTTCTCTTGTTTTGCATACAAAAGAGATCAACTTTGCGAGAGATTTACCCATGGAGGCAAACGCTGTATTAAGCAAGCATGTCGCACACACAATTCAATCAACTGCAGTAATTTATTTTTAAGTTCTATCTCTCACTATAACGACGCGACAAAAGGTTCGTTGAAGAACTGCGTTCAAAAGGGTCTCAAGGGTTCAGACGGCTCACCCTAATAGGCTGATCATTGGATTCGCACTACAAATCCGTACTGTGACATAATTGAGTGCTTCTTATTGTTATATACGTATTACATCTTGCTAAAAGGATCACAGCCAATTCGAAAGCAAGTTTCTATACGACAGCGTTTCGACTGAATGTGCCTCAAGCGTTGGCTTTAGTCTGATCGTTTTTTGACGTCCTGATGTCTAATAGATGGCTTAGGATGAACAGTTTGACGATGGACACAATTGATGCATTATTAAGAATTATTAAGATTCGTATATTTCTTGTCTTAATAACCGAAATACTAAATCTGCAACGTTCATTCAATTTCTTTGTAGAAACGAGCCGAATGCGCCATTCCTCTACACCTGGATAATGGTGCTTCATTGAGTATTTGATCTCGCGACTGATTATTATGGTTTTCAGTACGCAAGCGTATTTAGTTTCTTCAAATATTTTCCCTCATATGCAAATTGCCTCTGATTGGAACCAGTTTTTATAATGGCTGACGTTGAAACTAAAGTATGACTTTAAGATCGCAGTTTTTCTGGCTGAACAAAGCATTACTTCTCATAGTGTCACTACCCGGACCTTCACGTCGGGATTCTTTGGAACTTCAGTATTACAACATCCAGCGTGATGCACATTCGTAGCTCCATTCCAATGGTAAAGCAATATTACTACATGTTAGCTAGATAACGTGTAATGAGTGTTGTTGCGTTGCTGAATTGAACGTTGAACGAATACGATGATCTGGATAAGTTGAATCCCCAAAGTGTGCTTGTTACATCCGTCACACGATAGTTCGTTAAAGCTCTACCTGTTACCCCATTGCTGAACATCATACTTACCAGAAATCGGGGCATTGTTGAGCAACGTTTGACTAACAAGGGGCATCGTCATACTCCTTATTCGACGTTGCGTACACTCTTAGATGATGACACGGCTGGTAGGACTTCTACTTGGTCTCGAATCTTCTTCGTATATCTTCTTTGGCTACAATTTACCTACAATTTATCTCAACTAGACGTCCGTAAGTTTCCACAAATTCAAGTTGCTGACATGAGCATTGACTACCCTACAAAAGTCGATCTTATCCTGATCCGCCTAAAGATCAGGTATGAACTTAATGAGGTCACGAATGAGAACAGAAGCTAATTGCGACAGTATTGGTAATGGGGACTTGATTGCCTGCTGGTTGAGATAACAGTGATTGGTATGATACTCATTAATTCCAGCTTAGCTCGGGAGCCACTTGTTGAGCACTGCATACATTAACACTCGACCGTCCTGCCACTACGAAGGACGAGGGAACTACACGGAGGCAGGTAAAGCAAATAAAGCGTACCAAAGAACGAAAAAACTGACAGCGAAACGTCGGTGGAGGCGGTCGAGCGTTTGTGCGACGTTCTCTCGTTTCCTTGACCTTGTTCTTTGTGTCTCGCGATCTCGACAAACGTGAGCTCCTATTCGGTCAAAAATTTTTGTCACTTTTCTGCGCTCATTTCCATCGCTGGCCGCAAGAAAAAGCATATATTTTACGCGCACGAAGTACCAAAGCAGTTATTACAGTAAATAGATGAAGTTTGTCGTCAACTGTAGATTAACCTGTAACTGGTGTTGCGGCAGTTTCAGCAATAGCTACGCAGCTGCCAGGGAACCAACCAAGCGACGAGATCAGCAGCCAGCCCGCCTCAACGCGTCTGCCTTAAGCGCCGTTTGGCCAAGTGGCGCTACTATCGCGCTGGCCATCGGCGAGCTCTTTCTTTGGCTGTGTCGAGTGAGTCTCTCCTTTCTCTTCCCGGCCTATCCACTGCGCCTCGCGTACCTCTCCTGACTGGCTGGCTGATAGGGTGGCCTCAGTGGCGTTTACCTTGACTTGCTTGCCTTCTTAGTTGCCCCTTCAGTGCTTCCTGCGTGGCCGGTGGCAGACAGACGCCCCGTTTCTGGTTGCCGTTCCGGGCAACAGCAGACGGTGGCAGTCGGGGCAGTTGCAGGATACCCTCGCTTTGAAGGGCTCGCCGGTGACTTAGACACAGTGAGTTGCTCTTTCAGCTCGTCGGGCCGGCTGCTTGCTACCTTACCCCAGACGTGTTCCCGAGCGGTAGGTACCTCCCTCCGATCACTGGCGTCGAGATTCTTTGGAGGGAGTGGCTCGATTTCAGAAAGAGACAAAACCGTCGAAAAAATTTGTTGGATTTTATTGACAAAAGAGAACAATGGCACATATAGGTTACTGGGAGCATTTGGCTGAAATTTTACGATACAATAGAACGAATGCGATGATTCCTTTCTGGAATTGCTTGCTAGATAGTATCTAGTAATCAGCTGTGATTTAGAGTTAAAGTTTTATCCTCAATGAGTTTCGTTTAATAACCGAACTTGACACCTTATTTATTATTGCTAGGCTATTGCAGCTAATAACTTGTTTACACCGTGTTTATTACTTGAGACGAACGAAACAATGTGTGTTGTATTGAGTTACACAATATTGAAATTTGATGGGACCAATTTCAAAAAACGCATGTCAGATGGAAGCGTTTATATATTAAAGTATATGTATAGGGTGTTCGTTGCAGAAGATTCTAAGCCCAATGTTGGTCTAGCTGGCTTTGGTCATTTTGTACGAGAGCAGCAGCAGTCACTGCTGTGTAATAAACAAGCACGGCTAAGGGAATCGTTATTTTTTTTTTTGTTTCATATGGCAAAGTCCTCATGATGGTGTAGCAGTAACGTATCGTATGGAAACACCGCCTATTACATGTCCATCATTTTACACTGCTAAAGTCCTCCGGTGCCGTTAATGTATACGATATTCGATTAAAGCTATTTAATTTTTGATTTCAATATATACTATGAATCAATATCGGTCCGATGAAACTCGGTCAATCAGATACGCGTATGATCTTAATTACTACGGAATGTGTCCTGACAAACTATGTCCTGGCTTGTGAGATATTATGCTTAAATGAGCATCTATGTTCCAGCAATACCACTTCGATAGGGATAGACTAGGCCACTTTGTTTTGGTACATCAACTACATCGTCTTGTTCGGATTTGAATCGGCGGCTTAACAATATTTTTCCAAGCTGCCTAATCGTCAGGGCTCATTAAGCCCACCGCCTCATAATAAAGGTATACTAGTATTTTCCTTAGTTCATCAAGATTACGGAAGGCAAGAAATATACAACGATAAGAGCCCTTTTCTAAAGCCGAGTTGAGCAAGATGGTTCGATCAGGGTCGAACGAATTATTTTAGGATTGGCCAGTTGAGTAAACTCAAATTGCTCCTCGAATAGTCATCGGTTCGAAATTTTCGAAAAAAAAACTTAATATAGTTACCATTAAGGTAATCGCTAATTTATGCCCCTCGGTATCGGCTTTGCGGTATCGGTTTTGAGCGCGACTCTCAGAACAATCTTAAATTACCAAAAACAAGGCCAGCGTTTAAGTTCGTAGACATTTCTGTTTATTTCGGTAAGACGATGCCAACTTTGATGTTTAACTTCTATTCTAATATGAGGATATCAGGAATGCGAAGTGTGAGAAATGATAATTAAATTCTATTGGTTAGCAAAAAGTGTTTAATACTCGTTTTTTTTTTCTTTAGGTGAAAAGTGAGCAAAAGTTACTATCTTCTTAGCTATTCACTATTTTTTTTTAAGTTACAATTGCAACGACACTGCTTTATAAAGCGACCTGCCGTCTTCCTGCGTATCATGTAATAATCTATGTGATTTGTAATCTTCTTAATTTACACGAAGTCTCAGATTTCGGCTGGAACGTCTTGCCGCGAAGGAAGCTGATTCCAGGGACTTTCGCTGCCATCGCGCATCTACCACCACACGACTACAGAGATATATTTTGAGTATCAAGCGGCGAACGATATCTGATTTACTGCGCTGTCGCGTATCGAGTTTAATTTGGTCTGGAAAAATTTCATTTGGACTTTGAAAATCAGTTTGAGTGGCCATCCCCATAATAAATAGCCGATGACAACTGTGTCGTGTACATATATCATCTGATACTGATGACTGTGTTCGAAGACACGTGTCCTCACAGTACCTTACAAAACCCCTACTGAGTCATCGATTTTGATCGTTGCTCCATTATGAAATAATCGAAGACGATTTAAATCTTTGTTTTTCTCTAGAAATTGCAACTCACCCTAAAAGCGCTTAAAAAATAAGCAATTTAAATCACTACAACAACTTCATTGTTCAGTGTATTTATTTTTCTTTAATCATGAAACAAAGACTCGCCTTCGAACGGCCCCTATAATCTTCTGCGGCTGAAACGTTCTACCTCTGCAAAACGTATTTGGTTAACTAATGATTAGGGCAAAGTGAGAGCAATCGATGCGTCCATTGATACACAGTCGAAGCTTCTAAGATCATGCCAGCATGTTCATTGAACTTCTACGACCGGTGCGCCAGAATCGAAGAGATTCGTTTTTGCGTGTGCAGTATTTCCCATATATAAACTATGCACGATGAGCATGTACGCATCTAGACGTACAGACAACGTGAGACAGCTGAAATAGTAAAGCTAAGCTAGCTATAGACAGATAAGAATAAGTGAGTTTTTTTGTATTTATTTCTCCTTGTTTAGCTTCATAATGACAAATGATAAGGTTCAGCGTGTAGTGTACAAAAAACCGTTTTTACCCATTATTATTATTTTATCAACACAGATAAGGCAATCCGTCGGATGAGTTAGGCCTCATGACAAATTAACTATACAAGTTGGGCGGCACTCAGTTTCTAAAGGAAAAAAACAACAAACGGATTATAGATCATAACAAAAATAATAATAATTATATCGACCACAAGTCAAAAATATATTTCCATCAATAAACGTATTACCATTCCATCATTGGAGCAAGTGATCGGCTCTTTTAGCTGCTGTCGTATGAAATGAATGCGGTCAATTCGGTATAGCGTTGTTTTATTATGACTTGCTTTTATTTAATGTCTATTATATAAGATGACTAGGCAGATTGTTAGTTATCGTTCCATAAAAAAAAAAAAGTATGTAAAAATCATTTAAAATAACAATGAGCTCTACCATAGGACAACAAGCTTCGTAAACTGAGAGAATAGTTTCCTCTGCAGAATCGCGTGCATCGTGACGCGTCGATAATACAGCAACTGGTCATAATCCGTTTAAACCAATGGACGACGCTTATATGAGACTACTGTAGCGTCTTTACCATTTCTACCTTATACACATTGAAAAAAAAAAGCTGTCTGGGTTTTTGCGGAACAATTCTTGCTGGCAAATCAGGCGGCAGATGAATGAAGGAAACCCTCACCGGAATATAAATCTATGTCTTTTGCTTTAAGTCATTCATCAAGGATCACTGCCTTACAAAGCCCTGCATTGAAACCACTTTTAAAAAAGGACCTGTAGAGGAAAACGTATCTTCTTCTGTAGTGTTCCGAGATCAAGGTAGACAATGCGGGGCTTTATCAAGGATATCCCGCACCGAGTTCAATACGAGGCACTCGTTTCATTACAGAAGCTTGAAGAAGGTACATCCTATAGGATACCTGACGAGCACTGCGTAATGCCTGCTGTTCTTGACACTCCGTGTAACGCATTTCGAATGCTCGGTTTACGCGAACATTGAGAATTTGAGGTGGGAGGCTTGCGGCAAAATTTGCATCGCTACTTTTTCCTGATGGGGCAACTTGGCGAGGCCGTAAGGGGGTAGATGCTGCGTCTAGTAAACGTGTATGGTATGATGATTTTGTGCTCCGGGAGTTTTCAGAGGTCTTGATGCCGGTTTGTCGTGTGACGCGCAAACTGTCGAGAGAATGGTGTATTTTGTTTTAGGAAATCGCTCGATGATGTAAATACAATGAGCAGCTTATCAGGATATTTAAAAATCATATATTCGAAATTAGATTTGCGTCTTGAAACATGCCATACAAAAAAAAATGGAGCCAATATTAAAGCAGGGTAAATCAGTATTGAGCATGTCGAGATTATGACAGGATAAAGTGATTCACAACTATATATTCTCAAGGTTACACTGGCCAACACTGTAATTGCTAACGATTACTACGTTTTAAGAGAGGCAATTAAAAATACAGCTCATGCAGGTGCAAAGCTCGTACTAAGGTTTCAGCGATTTCCCAGTGCCCAAGTTGGACAACTACAGTCAACTGGGGGTCTATCTTAAACGCCTCATTCAAATGTCATCTTCTACAATAATTTATTTTTTTTTTTTAATTATCAGCCATTTCATGGTAGTCTCCCTACCTTTTGGAAGGCACTGCAGGGCTATTCGAAGGCAACTTGATTACCGTCTGCCTCACATAATGATATAGTTCCAGCAATTTTATTGATTATTCGCGCGCTATTGGTTATTCATTTCAGTTCCTGTTAACGGTAAGTGCATCTTGTTTATTAAATGTATCTATTAGACTACTACAATATTGAGTGAAACATTCCGGACTGGAATCACGTTGAGCATCGCTTACGGTTTTTTGAGGACGCCTTTCGTTAGCTTGGGGATAGGTGGCGACGTTGAGCCAGTAGACTCGCCCTGGCTGTCGTACAGGGAGACTGCCCCGAGCTCTGCTTTTGGATCCATCTTGTCAGCTTCATTGTCAAGCCTGTCAAGTTCGTTTGAGCTTTCGGTATTGGACTCTGTGTTTAAAAAAGGACTATAAGAAAAATAACAATATTAGAAACAGGACTACACAATGCACAGCAAAGGTGTTCTTTTGCTTACCTAGAACTGTAAAGACGATGATTGATAATATCGCTTTGATTTTCTTTTCAGGCCCATTGGTTTGCTAATTTTTCGGTGGCTTTTGGTTAGTAAAGTTCAAGTTTTCCACAGTTAGTAACATCTTGATCTAGCTTCGATGAAGGGGACATTTCCCTTCCTACCAATCCCTTACACTGACTTTTGACGCTACGGAGCCACTAGAGATGCTGCGAATTATCATCACCTAGGAGACCCGCCATAATTTGCTCAGTACATACTCCATGCTTTTGTTATCCATTCTTACAGACTCTCCTCTGGCAGCTTGCTACGAGATACTCACCCAAAAAATATCTAGAAAATATACTTATCATATTAGTTATCGTCAACTTAACTACGTTTTTAGTTAAATGCGCTGTTCAGTATTATTACTTAAGATTAGTATTTGCATACATTCGTTTCTGTACATACTAGCTGCAGACGGCACTATCTTCCGCTGATCTCTGAATACTACTTATGTATGGTTGATCCGTGAAGAGTGACGATGTTGCATTGATCGGCGAGGACTGAATGAACTCCTTAGTCGGAATTCCGATATCTGTGACGTCTCCTGAAAGATCAGCGGTCACTAGAGCACAGAATTATCATTATTATTATTATTATAACTCGGCATTTCATAGCTGTTAAAACAACTAAGTGGGATTTCGATGCCAGTATTGAACAGTGATCACGATGAGACCTTAAACTACCAACAGAATTTCAAGTTTCACAAGAAAACAAGTATAAGCTCAAGTGTAAGCTTCATAGAGACTTATAAGATTTGTGTGCTAATAATATTAAAGATAATAAAAAAACAGTGCAGAAAAGCCTTATATACCACCATCAGCTTATTATCGGTAACTAAAAGTGAGCGATATTTAGCATACGATATTATTACGTAAAAAGAAAAGCTAGTTACACAGCTACCATTATTACGGTTACTAAGGTTGCAAGTTGAATTGGCTATCACGACAATATGCATGGTAGAAGATCTGGCTAACTTACAGAATGGCCTTTTTAACAGATACAATTTATGACTTATTTCTCATAAATAGTTCTAGATAATAATAATAATAATAATAATAATAATAATGGTAAATAGAAAGGGGGAAATATTGGTCTTAATAACTCAATATCATTAGCTAGTTTTACTGAATCCCCAGCATCCGCCATGTGGGCTCAGACGGGTGGGGTTTTTGCTGTGACGCCGAAGGTCCCTTGTTTAAGGCCAACTTCGATAGAACGAGTGCTTGCGGCAATCTTCAAGACTGCTACTTGATGGTAGTGAATGAGCACAATAAATTTTTCAAACAATCATCCCCACAAAGTAGTTCCCACTAATTTCACACTCATAGACACGTATATATACATAGTATTTACCTTTGACAAAAGTCATTGTCCCAATATTTCTCCAATGAAACACGCCGAGTCAGCCACTGCACAATGCCAAAAAAAGCCCACTTGCAAATGGAAATTCGATGTGAATGACGGATGCCGTCTGCTAGACGAGACCCGAAAGATGGAATACTTTGTAGATGGGCCTTTACGCAATAGAAGCGTAATGCCATGTTACAGACAGCGTGCGTATACGAGCGTGTGTGCTTCTGCAGACGCACGATTTCGGAGTGCTGCTAAGTAACAAGTATGGGATGATGCAGGTTTACTTAACATGATGCTTACACAAACCATATGCTTGCTCATTTTTGATTGTTTTTTCACACTCATAAATAGCTAAATATAAGAAAGATATCCATCTCTGTTAGTGGAACCTTGTTGTAGATTCCGTAAGATCTTCTCGCACTGTCATTTAAATAGGTACCTCTGCTCGATAATTAACTCAAACGGGGTATATTAAAAAATAAATATACGAATTAGACGTTCGTCAAGTGATCTACAATATCGCTAAAGCGGAATAATCCTCTAGATTCAACTAAATCTACTTTTTTTTTTTACCATATTATTAGGGGAAATCAGCGAAGTGATATATATTAGAGTACATATAAAATAATTAACCATATCTAAAGAATTTTACTGCATCTAGAATAATTTAATTCTTATTTCATAAACGAACGTACCCACAGGGCCTCTTCGAACAACTGTACTTTCGTTTTCGAAGCGATGGAACTCACTTTGATCACATTTATAACAACTCGTTGTAGCCAAAAGGATCAGAAAGCAATTCGGCCTGCAAGCACAGGACCAGAGGATTTCATCCTTTAGAGCCTTTGTTTGAAAGTCTCTCTCGTGCTGGTTAATTAATATTTCCAAATACTTTTCCATTTGCTTGTTGTGTCTAGCTAGCACGGTTAACTATACTACGATGAGGTACTTATCGATATTGGGACGTTCGTTTTTTAAACCAGAGGTTTGAATCATATCGAAATGTTTTCGTTGAGAGTGACTATTTCTTCTAGGTATTGCAATGAAGAGAACAAGCTGATTGATTATGCGTTGTAAATTATGAGCCGCTAGTGGTCGCTACATACTTTGCTGAAGTTTCAAATTCGTATCATTGTATGTATATTTCGACTGAGAAGTAGATCTTCGAAAACGTCACTACCAAGCTGAGGTGATCAATCGCAATTTTCGGATCAACTATACAAACGCAGAAAAACGCAGGTGAAAAGCATCATCAGGATATGTTGTTGTGATTACAAAAACCTTTAACAAACATATGTTCCGGTTTTCTCCTATCTGTACATCTCAAGAATGATATCGTTGTGTGGCATCCACTCGTCGAAGATACGTATCTGTCTTCATTTTCTGGTGGACAAATTCTATTATATATCGATATATAGATACCGAGTGGGCGTAGAGTTATAGGCCAGGAACTACCATTATACAGAAATAGGCAAATGGGTTGCAAGTCGACCTTGGGTCGACATTGCGAGAGTTCTTGCACAGTTTTCGAATTACACTCGATTTACGAAAAATAGCCGCAGTTCTTATCTATTAGAAGAATATCAAAGCCCCCTTGGAGATATTAACAAGGTCAGCTTCAGGACACGTGTAGGCAGATTACGGAATAGTCATATTTGAATTATCTGGAAACGGTAAATTTCAGAGACAACATTGTGACAACACGTTTTTATGGTATCACATCTGCTTAAGATCGGTAAAAATTCAATGTACTTTTGATTTAACGTGTTAAGATGTTTTTCTGAGACTGTTATTTCTCAAGCTAGTCCGCTGATAATACGTAATATGTAATGATGATGGCCAATAAAAACTTCGCCGGCTTTGTTTAATTCTAAATAGGAAATACTCCGTTCGTAGTGTAACTATGACTACAACTCGGAATAACTCGTAGTGCAAAGGATGCTGGTATAAGGATTCTGGTAGGATAGGTATAAGGAACTGTGACAATAACAAAATATCGGAAAATAATACAGAGAACTTTCTGGTTTCCATGCGATATACCGTTCAAGTTCAACAATAAATCGCTTATTTTTTTTGTATGTATGAAAAAAATACATTTTTCTCCGCTTAAATTAAGCGAATAATTGCCTTTAATTAATCTACGTCTGCAATGAATAGAAATTCGCTATATATAAATAAAATATGATAGGTACAATAATTAACTATGATTATATTCATGTATCTATACCAACAAGGCTAACGGAAAAACATGCTCAAGCGAATCTTGGTGGATTAAACCTTTATTTATTTGTTTATTTATTTATGATTTTTCATGATCATCATCATCGCCATCACTTGTTTTCCAATTAGATTTCGACACCCGCCTGGCACCATACGTATTCTCATCGTCTACTCGTTCTCCCTGTCTTACAATAGTTATTGTCTCAGTTCCGCTATATATCTCGGGCCTTTCTTCTCGTTCTCGGCAGATACTTTACTTAGTTTTATTACGCGCGGATGCACTGGTCAAATGCTAAACATTTCATCTTCATCGTGGTCCTTTTCCACACTGAGACGCTACTACTTGATGTACGTCTCCTTACTGTTTCGTTGTTGTTATGTTTTTAGTATTTAATTTCTCATCCAACCCTCTCTTCCCTGCTCGCGACAGGCTGTTTTTATTTGTGGCAATAGTAAAATAATAATATTGGCATTCATTTTGTTCAATATAGTCATTCCCACCAACGGCGCCAAAATAATAAGTAATAACTATAATATTACTAATAATAGAATAATCAAAGCCGCGTCACCACCAGACAACGGCAACGCAACAAAATCGTCTAAATCTTGTCATTGATTAGCCAGGGCGGAAATATACGGCGCAGATGGGCCACGATCGTTCATTTCAGATCGTCACGGTCTTCGTCATAATTCGTCACTCTAACCATCATCGCATCGTACTGTTCGATTCAGCTTTATTCCGTAATCGCCAGCCGCATCGAGCAACGAGAAATGGGAAGTGATAACCTTCCTGATTTCATTTTGACCATGAATTTTTTCGTGACGTCTGGTCGTAACTTGTGCCCGATATCGATATCGCGGCTTGAGCTTTAAACTAACGCACACAACGATGCAACAACATAAATAGTGTTCAATTTATACAACGCCAAACAGAACGGAGCTAAAAAATGACAGGGCGTAGACGATGAAGTTCGATAGGGAATATGAAACCGCGATGGAAAGAAACGACTCGCGATAGTACAAAGTCAGGCCAAGTTCCTGCTGGTCCTCATTTTCTGTTTAGTCTTCTCCGTCTTTAAATTTTCACGAATTGCTTTTCGTATCAACATTCCTACTTGTACCATTCTTCCTTCCCTTCTACAACCACAGGGAGAAAGAAGAACAGCTTTTATAATGTATTAAGCATACGATTGTGTGTCTTTCTGTAATGATGCTAGTGGTGACAATCCTATTGGTCTTTACTTAGAAAATCTCATTATTATACATGTATATCTTCTCATCATGATTTTTATCATCATCAACGTTTTAAAACTTTATCGACCGTTGTGTTACCCTGAGATGGCGCTGATCCTATCACGTCAAAACGAGAGAGGACGCATGACGAAGGCAATTGCTGCATTCCTCGTATTACTATTATTATCATAATTGTTTCTGTCTAGTGCTGGTTAGACGATAGGGATACAACGGCGATCCATATGCTGCATATATTTATTCATTTTATATATATATATATATATTTTTTTATTGTTATTACGGTCAAGATTTTTTGGGGCAGAGAGGGTTGGTATGCGTTCGCTCGCGGCAGGGCAAGGGTATACAAACAGAAAGTGTGCGAAAAAACTTATTTTTGTGTGAACAAAAAATAATTATTTACATTAAGTCTACAGACTCGTTTCATTATTTGTCGTCGTCTTCCCTTTTCATGCCATCCCACATCCTGTGCTTTGTTCACCTTTTTCAATCATTTGCTGGTTTTGATCAGTATGATCGTAAAGGTGGTTTTGGTTTTTCTTCTATACTCACGATGATCCCATATTGTTGTAGAAGCATTTCCACCTGAGTTTTTCCATTGCAAAGAGACGCTGTCCAGCACATGGTGCCGCCCAGTCCTCGCGTCTCGCGTCGACTGAAGTCGAAGCTGTCACTCAAATCGTTCTTGGTTTGTCTGGCATTTCTATCATTCATAGACACGGTTCTCTATGTTGTTGCTTGGTCTTAAGCTATCCAACTGCACAACTCAGTCATTAGACTGCTTTTATCAAAGACACCTGAATGGCGTCAAACCATTTTTCATGGTAGCGCATATATCGGTACTAGTAGAAGTAATAGTCATTGTCGCTATAAGGTAACGGCATTTTATAATTGTCCTGATCATCGTAACTCGCTCAGCCTGCAGTAGCGACGTAGGCTAAAAGTTAGGTAGAGACGAGGTAAAATTAATCCGTCCACGTTTATGCTCGTAACATGACGAAACCGATCAGAAGCCAAATGACGCTGTGGATTTTAACCGAATCGCTAGCCGAGGTAATCACTGTTGACTGCGTGCGGAACGTGAATCGCTCTGGGGCTGAGCTTTCCTCTTTTTCGGTGATAGCGATCACGGAGCCTTCGTATTCTGAGTTGGGCGTCAGCTGAGAAACCAGATCACGGAGTTCGTATTTGCCATCAGCGCCAGCGATCTCGTTCGACGGTACGGGAAATTCAATCACTCGGGGCTCGCCAACCTTTCCCTTAAGCGTTAACTGGAAGAGTCGTACGCGGTACGGTGAAACTGTAGACACAACAACGTTGGCTTTGACATCGGACGCCACCAGACTAATTGTTGGCTTAATCGGAACCGCTGAAATAATGCACAAGAGATAATGATTGGGCATTTTTAGGGAATCGTTTTTTTTGTTCGTTAAACTCGTTGTCTCTCCCGTTATACGCTTTGCATTATAATGATACACGGCATACGGTAGCCGATAAAACACCTGCTACTTCTATCAAAGAAAACTTCACACGATGACGATGACGATGACGTCATCGATTGATACGATATTCACGATGACGTGGGAGTCATCAGATTGTCATCGCTAATGATCAGTAGGCGAAATACAGTGAACTAACTCAGTAATACGAGAAAAATTGGAAAGGAATTGTTGACATGCTTCCATTACGGCGTGTTCGACGGCAAAAATATCTACGTAGCAGATAAGTTGGATAGAGACTTACATGAGATTTCAACAGTGCCACGAGTTTCGCCTATCTTATTGGTGGCAATGCAGGTATAGTTATCAAAGAGTTCCTTAGTGATTTGTCGAATTCTTAAGATCGAAACATCGGCCTCCTTGCTGGTCTCATAATGCTCCGAGTCTTGCACCTCTTCGCTGCCGCCTTTACGCCAGGTGATTGTAGTGTTGTCCTCGGAAGCGAATTTACAAGTGATTTCGACACTCTTTTTTTCCTTATCCTGAAGATTCTTCCATTGAACGGTGACGTTGATGTCCGGTCGGCCGACGTAATTTACAGTGATTTTCTTCACTGCATCGGGTTCGTAACCGTTCGTTGCCGTACAGACGTATACGCCGGCATTATTACGGGTCGCGTCACCTATCTGAAGAGCGCCATGCTTTACAAATGAGCTAAGGTCAACGTTGGAGCCTTCCTTCGTATAGGTAATGGTCGGCTGGGGAACCGAGTTGGAGCGACAGTGGATGTAGATTGTTCCACCTTCTTTGGCTTGCAATACGTCGGCGTCGACATCGATTGTTGGGGGGCCTAGAAGCATCAGATAAATAGAGACAATGTGCAACTATGAACAAGGACTTCATACTCAATAGGCGTGCATAGCTTGCGGGTAACGAAAATCCCCAGTGGAACGACCTAAAACAATACCAATAGCCCTATAGTTGCACGTAGAAACAGCCAACAAGTCTCTGTGAAATTAACTCTGGTTGATTGTTACTCTTTCTATTTGACTGGAATGAGGACTTAAGTCCTCACATAGTGTTTTAATTAACAATATGTTATAATTATTATTAATTACCAAGAAGTTGGATGTGATGGGTGAGAACGACTTCCTTTGCGACGCTTAAACGGCATGAGAATTCGCCTACCGTTTCAGGTCCTGTTACCATCACCTCGAGGTTGTTTCCTTGGACATTGAAGTTGTCTCTCTTGAATAACGGCGTAGAGTCGACGAAGAGAACGGACTTTTCGAAGAACCATAACCGAAGGATCTGCTTGGCAGCTAGAGTCAAATTTGAATGGAAGCGAACGTTAGCTTTCGTGCCTCCGATCTGGGTCGCGTAGGATTTCAGCCATAGGTCAGAATTTCTATTGCTGTTATTATGGCCAATTCATAATGTGACAATTGAATTATTACTATACTAGCTGATTAAATGCAGAGTCTACGAACCGTCTACAGATGTTTTATCCACCTCGTAGTCGCATGGCAGTACAACCTTTTGACCAACTGTTGCCTGAATCGTTTGCGGTTCGCTCGTGAACCGAAATTCTGAAACAGGAACCCGAAACAAAACACAGTCGTTGTGAGATATGCAGTATTATAAATGAATGGACCTAACAAATCACTGGAAGATTTCCCCTGAATGGTTATGCCCAACCAGCTTCAGTATCTACCTGGCGTTTAAGTCATCGGTAGAAATAATCAGCGGTCAAACATTTAGGTTTAGTGCTCAACATGTGCATTATTAAAACAGATGATTCAGATGAGCAATTGATATATTATTATTATTGTTAGGCTAAAAAAAAAAAGCCTCAATTACCTACATAGAAATTTTAAGGTATTTGTTAATGTACATAAAATCCACTTTATCCTACTTCGACCGAACGGAATTATTGAGAACGTTGCCAAACAGCTAATATAGGTTTTCACACTGTTGTATTTTGATTTCCAACTATTACTAACACGAACAGCTGGTTAGATCCGCCAGATATAACTAGAGAACTTCTTTTTACTAGGTAATGAACACATTACTTGCTGCCCTCCATAGAAACTTCACCTGGAAATGCGTTCCAGGTTCCAGCGTACCGCCCGCTTATAAAATGACGGAATGCGCCATAGTACGATAGTTCTCATCCCGTTCACAGTTTGGCACGCGACCTACGGATTGCGTGTGCAAATAGTCGTTGCAGAGACCCAATAACTGTGAAAGTCATCGATTTTCAAACCGTTTTCCATTTACTATCAGCCACACATACGCTAGTCGAACAAAGACGGTGGATCAGGCAACAACGGCGTGAAAGACGTTAGGCGGACAACAGCCTAGGGCGTGGCGCGCGAAAATTGTAATTTCAGTTACATTTGTTGTCGTCGCCAAAGTGGTTGTACCGCCATTGTATGCTAAGTGGTTGAAGCGGCAATCTCTTGATTGTTGAAACTCATCTGAACTTGACTGAATAAGTAGAACCTTCGATGACACTGTTCAGCCTTTTTTTATAAAATGAAAGGCTGGATATTAAATAGTGATAACATACGTCTACTTCCGAATGATATTTTAACGAAACGAAGCTGCTGCCAGCAGACGTTGGACATCTTCTTATAATTATCCTAGGCTTTACGAATTTTCGAGGCACATTCTGTATATGCATACATGTACATAATGGTTTTTATCAATGATTCACTAGGCCCCATTATTTTTTATTGTTTGGCAGGTGTATAGGTAAAATGGAATCACCAGCAAAATATCACGCTATTATCGCTGCCGTATTCCTTTACAGTTCGTTTCTCCCATTCGCCTAATGTATAGTAAGAAAATATTCGAAATGGCTGTCAGCGTTACAGAAAGCCCCCTTAAGTCCTAACCAGAACCTAGAGGGAAAGCAGGTCTTTTTTTTATCATCTTCCTGTCTCCGGTTTCTGTTATATTATTATCATCACCGCAGCCACGTGCTAATATTCCAAAGAACCACATGACCACACGGCGCGTCATGAATCCGAGAAGATTGATCGAGTCTGTTTGTTTCCTACATCGCTGAACGCGATTTGTGTGATATTTAGAGAGGCTTACAGAATGCTGTTCTCATCCGCCAACGGCAACGGCTCAATTCGTCAGCAGGGCGTTTTAAACAACGTTTGTCTATATTACCGGGTAGATGGTAATATTCATTGACAGTGGGTTTCCGCCCATAATGTAGTGCACTTTTACCACTTGGTTAGTGCGAACGCTTCGTCTTTTTCAATTTTCGCCGATCCTACAACATTATCGAACCGATAGAAAAAACAACGGAGAGGCCAACGGTTGACTGCCGGTGCGATGCTAGCGCCAAACATCGTACCGACCGTGACAATCCCAGCCTTAGCGATGATGACGGCACGCACGGCGGAAAATAAACGCAGATACCTAATTTGTCCAGTAAGAGAAAATAGCATAGGTCAACGTAAAAATGGCAGTAGCGGAAGACAGAGGAAGCGGGCCTGATGAATTGAGCTTGCTTGTTTGATCCGAGTTAACACTGTCAATCTGCCCTCGTTGGTCCTGGCGCCGATCGCCAAAATAATCGAGGACAAATAAGAGCTGCCGAAGATTCACGATTATCACAACGATAATCGTGTGTAGCATTAAATATGTTTTGTCGACATTGCTGATAGCGTATTGCTTTTGCTGTGTTCTCAGTTGTTACTGCTGTCACTGTTAGTGTTTTTACTAGCCAATATCGTCGCTGGCCTTAAATTGGTCCTGCTTTTGATAGAATACCGATAGAGGGTGATGGCACAGTGCTCTGGTTTGACCAAAAGCCGTAGCGTAATGCTCGACTGCCCCAATTGACGATCATTGGTTCGAAGCATCGTGCGGCAGTAATGGGGCCCTTTTCCCGCTTACTACTCCGAAGATCAAAGGGAGACGAACGCATGCGTCGTTCCCCTAGACGTGACTTAATAATGTGCTAAAGCATTAGACAAAGTATTGGTAATGCTATATACCTCTAAAGCGTTTGGCAAAATTTAGAGAATGAAATATAAATGTTTAGATGTTCTTTCTAAAAATCGGATCGTGCTTCGATTGAATCCTCACCGCCTAACTGTTCAAAAAAAAAACTAACAGAATATATATTAGATAAACTAAACATGAGTTTCAGTTCAGGGCAATACTTTCAACGTGAAACGAGATACGTAGCCGTTAATCAGAGAGCCCGCCCCGCGTATTTCGTTGAAGAATTTGTGGAGATCTTTTTGGCCAGCTTATATATCTGTTGTGGATCGTCTCTTTGACTCATCACTTACTTGCTCGACAACTTTATTCGCTGGATTCCATGGACGACATTAGACCTAGTGCAACCCATCAACCCAGATATTACTTTTAACGCTTTCCATTGATTCATTCATGTGCTCTAGTGTCTTTATTTGATCGAGCTTCTCCTTTCTTGTCCAATCGCTGTCACAGCCCCTCCACTTCGTTTAGGAGTACTTGACTTCTTTCGCGTTTCATGTTGCTTCTCCCTGTTCAATGCAACACTTGCCAGAAACGCGGCTACCACGCCAACGATTTGACAGTGTCCAGATTTGGCAGACCGTCCATGTAGCCATGCAGCCAGTGGCAAGCCAACTAGCAAAACAGCCATCGGAATGTCTCTCACCTACTTCTGTCTCCGTCAGAGGGACAATATTTAGTTATAAGGTCATCTTTTTGTTCGTCTGCTGCGTTCTCTCGATTAAAATTCTCTATTGGCCGCTTCTTTTACGCTGTGAACTCCCCCTGTCTATTGGCCCGTCGCAGAATGACTCGTCACTTCAGGACTCTAAACGAGTTGAGTCATTTTCTCATCGTTCGAATGTCTTTCCTTTCAGTCCTTTTTACAGTTTAATTTTTCTTGTTTCATCGCATGCTTTCTTGTGTTTTTTTCTTTTTCTTGTATTGCATCTGCTTGCCCATAAAGTGGTTTTGACGGCAAGCAAGAAGAAAGGGCCCAACCCTTTCGACATAACACTCCTTAGACCGCGAGCCGTTCTGTTCTTGAAAGCAAACTCTACCATTCCGAAATGAACCACCCACAGCCTCAAAATGCATTTACTGTCCATGCACGGAGCGCCTGTCTGCTGGGCGAGCTGCGAGTTCCAAGTAAAGGCAATTGCGTTCAAGAGGGGACAAGTTTATGCCTTACGACTGATTTCTTTTTTTCGTAGCACTGAATCTCGCAGCCCGATATTCTGTTAGGTTCGTAAGAATCCTAAGAAGTCTGTTTTTTTTTCAATTTGAGCTGTTGTTGCTATACGTCTTCACTGGTGCTTGGCTCGTTTCTTTTCTTGCGTCAATCTTTTGATCATTTTTTCGGGCCGGTTGAGTGTCGTGTTAATTTTCCATGAGGCAAAAACTATTTTTCGAATCAAAGGCTTAAAAACGACCAGTTCCACAACTACCGACACCGACGCAACCGATCTTGACGGCAGAACCTGCTCATGCACCTGTCGCCAAACGCCCGTTGACAAAACCCATTAAGCCAGGGTCAGACACTGCAAATTATTGCCACCGGCCACTTCTATCGACTATTGCCGATAGCAGTAGTGGATGAGGTGGTTGCTGTCATCCTGTCAACAGCGTTCCTCTATAAAACGGACGAGATGCCCTCATTCGACAAGTTGAAAAAAGACAATGAGACGACCCTATGGGACGGACGGTCAAAATGTTATTCGTTAGAAGATGCCGATGTGTGAGCCAAAATAGTTTGTGTATACCCGGGACAATCAGATCACGTAATTTCCTCAGTTCAGCGCCAGTGGACACCGGAGATTTCGGGATAAAAGCCCATAGAAAATGCTTTTAGGAACATCGTTAACTTGTCAAGGTTTCCGCAGCCTGCACAGACAGCTAGGACTGAAGTCAACTAATAGGCCTGTACCTACTTCTCCTGTGTCTCACAGGACGACTTCTTATTATATAGCGCTTGTGACCCGCAAAATACCTCATCAGCGTGTGCAAACTTTGTCGGCTTGACATATCTTCTTGATATTTGCATGATGCACTGGTTGTTCCATATCATAATTTTATATTCGACACTCTCAGATCTGTCCATAAGACAGTTTTCTTTTTGTGGCATAGTGTTATATACAGATAGAAGCAACTTCTTCAATGTTCTTCTGCTGTACTATTTCATGAAATAAAAGTTCTTTGTGAGCATAAAGCATAAGTTCTAGTAACATCGCGATTCATAGGCTCGCTTCGAACTTCGCTGAATGCTATTTTAGTACATTCTTGCAGCGTTTTAGTTCTATCGAATTTCACGGCACAATGATAGCGCCATCGTATGGTGTATCATCCTGTTAAGCGGCATATGACGATTGGTGGTGCCTCTAGGCTCATAGTAAAATACGTATACATGTATAAAACTTCAGCGTGTGGCAGACATGCGAACATCGCAATATCCTTACAGAATAGTGTTCCACGAGTCATAACAAGTAGCGACCGTTTCAGCTGCCGTCAGCTCACTAATCGGTCCGATCTGAACCGTTAGCCACTTCTGCGAGAGTTTACTATAGTAGATCGCAAAGAGACAACG